ATTTATCACAGTTTCATTGCGATCTTCACTCCTTGATAATCCCACGACTACTGTTTTATTCTGGCACACTCTTCTAAAATTTTTCTAAATGTTATTCACTCTAGAAAGGAGTCTCACTCGTCCAACCGCATTCGCAACTTCCAGTGCTGAATAACTCCTTTTTGAAGATATTGGATATATTAAATATATATTAAATATCCCAATCTGCTTGATTTGTAATAATATGTCACTTTCCCATTGAACAATTTTTGTTTCCTGTACATAAAAATATTCTGTTGTGGGTATAAATTATCTTGTCAATTTAATAACAGTGGGAAGTGAATGAGAAAAAGAAATAAGGGAAAAACATGAAATATTTCTTTAATGGATTTTTAATTCTTTAAATAGGCCTGCAAATCTTTTGCTATGGATTTCTTTTCACGTAATTATTACGTTCCTCGTGTAATAATAATGAAAGTGTAGGAAATTGAAATATTTTACAATGCGAAATTACTGGATCTTTAATATTGAAAACGTGTCTTGATAAATAGTCAGTTTCCTCGTAATACTAAATATATTATTAGTTTAATAGTGACTGAGTTGTAGAAGGAGAGCAACGTGAATCATTTCGATTTACCACGAGATTCTTTGCCGAGTCTCTAATGGCGTGGAAGTTTCTTGCTGAACAGTGTTTCTTCTTGTTAGGCATGTTGTTAATCTGGTAATACAGCTTTTCAAGTTTTTGAAGTCTGATGGAACAACGGAGCAAAAGGGCAAGGTGAAATATTTCATTTTTATGGGAGATCTTTGAACTCATTTTCGGTATATCTCTTCTTTCATTGATGATACGTTTCCGATGGTAGTTGTTTATGTGATAATAGTTGTATAGATTTTATTATATATTGATGTAAAAGTGAGTGATGTTTGTAAGAAAGAATAAGTTCTTTCATTTTTCCATCCAACGGTTATTTCATCCATCATGATAGGTTTACTGCTAGAAAAATTAAAATTAAATGCATCATATGACATTAGTTAAAGACTACTTAACCATATTACTAAAAAACATTTTTTCCTAACGACTGGTTAATTTCTCAGCTCAGGAAATGAGTCAGACTACTTACCGATTACTTTTAAATGCAAGAAGAATAATCCTGTATTATGCATATCGTGCATTAATGTTTTATTCAGTTATTCTCTTTTACCGACTGCTCGTTCTGTTTTCCCAGGTAAAGTAAGCTCTCAGTGTCAAGAAAAAGGATTCAGCTAATCGATTCGATAAGGGACACTGGAAAACATGCAAACACTGCGTGTAATTCATTCATTTCAAAAGAACGTATCTTAAAAACATTATCACGCGTAACTTTATAGGCTATGATAAATAATCTCGCTACAAATGCTACATTTATCACAAAGATCTCATAAATCCTTATTTCTCTTTGAAACTAATTACCAAGTAAAATCACGTCGTATAATAACACCAATAATATACTGCCTTCACGTTCAAAGATCCAAAAACCCAATTAAAAGAAAAAAAAAGAAAATCTAGAAATTACGTTTTGAAAATTATTTGACCTCGATTAAACGTGTTCTTTTACACCGAACCACTGAGTCGATTCGCACGATATCCATAGTCATTTCTTTTCCGGCCGGTCGTGGTATCAGAACTTTCACGTTCGAAATGCTGGTCGGTCATTGCGAAATCAGATGATATTTGCACAACCGTGCCGGCTTTTCGCTCGTTCTCTTTACAAACGTGCGCCAATTATTGTAACACTGACAACAGATGTACAAACCATAGAAACCATAACACTGACAACAGATATACAAACTATAGAAATCATAACATTGACAACGTGCATATAAACTATAGAAACCATGACACTGACAACAGGTATACGACTGCCGGAAGAAATGCAGCCGGACTTCGTGGTGGATGGGTCGTTAGTATTCTTCAAGGTCGTGATCGTTGAACGCCCTGGAATACATGGCGTCTATAGAGGCGAGGCAGGCTTTGTGCGAGGGCGTATCTCTCTGCTATGCGCATCTTAATTAGATACACGTATCAGGTTGTGGTAAGGAACTCGAGCGTGTGGGCTATTTTTGGGCAATAAACTGGACTCGCCTCGCATCACAATGCTTGATGGTAATAAAAATCCGTTCCACGGGGCAGCATCTAAGAGTACAGGAATTTTTATGACATCTTGAGAGACGACGTTGAGTTATGTCTAGACGTTGTTGAGTTATCGCGAGAAGTATGGCAATATGCATCATGGTTTCCTTAGAAAAAGATCCACAAAAGTCAATTTTTATAAGCCAGATTACAACTATACCTCTTTAATTTGGTTTTTGGTGTTCCTTCAAATGAAAATGGTATCAGGTTTGATAACTAACAGCGTGTAAGAGTATAATCTACCTATTCTGGATTCATTATACGTACCTTGCATTTTGTGCACCTATTTATATCAGAAATAAATATTTTCATTTTAATCTCTTACCTGTTCAGCACTTCAATTTGCTTGGATAGAGATATCAGACATCCAGGAAAATAGCAATATAGGTAACAAAGATATTACCTGTAATGAAAATTAAATATTACCTTATTACCTTAAATTTTTTAATTTAATGAGAGATAATTTATTACCTTTATATTAACATCCATGAATGTTTAGTAAATTTTGATATTTCTCGATTGTTTTCTTCTCATCTCATTATAATATCCGTGACTACGTAGAAATACTTTCACAATTTAGAAGATTAACATAATTATGTGCAGAGATTCTTGTTGTCAACTAACCAGGAATTCCTTTCACCAACAATCTGCACACTTATGTAATTCACAACGAAATATCGGAATGGGTAATAGCACTGAACAAACATTAGTGTTAAAAACTTAAGAAATAAAATAACACGAATATATAAACCACCAAAATTAACTAAAAGAAATATGTCAATTATTTGAATTGACTGAATCCCGTAAAAATTCAGAAAATTTAGAAATAGTTAAATTGGGTCTTCCTCGAATTTCTAATAATACATGAATGCAATAATACTTAATTACAATCGCACAATATAATTGCAATGAAGAATGTCGACGATCTAGCAGGTAGTAATTTTTTAAATCAAGATATTTCCATAATATTACTAGAATGTCTCTATTATTGAAATACTTGACAAAAGTGTGGTTGAATATCGAGACAAGCAGCCGTATCCTTTCTCGAGAGCATTTTCTAAACGAGCAGAAAAGGAGAAAAGGTGACTAGATGAAAAGATCGTTGATTCTATTTAGAACGAACGAACGTGAGAACGGAAACAAGGGCCGAAAGGTGCCGCGAATTAGGCTTCATTGTTATGTAGGAAACGACAGGAAGAGGAGCTGGTATCGCAAGAAGGAAGCTTACGCGTAATGAGGCGAATCAGATCGGTTGGTTACGAAATGCGAGATCGTTTACCATTTCTTGCAACAGACTCGATGAAGTTTCAAAAGTGAAACGATTACCACATTTCTTATTCCTTGTTTTGTAGTGTGCATATTTACCACGTTTTTGTGTCACCTCGATTGCTCTGGTAACACTCCTTTAACGCGGTATCGGTATCCTGCGATTCAGAAAGCTTCGGAATGCATTTTTTCCCCTTTGTATGGATCCTTCGTATTTTATATGCAATGAAGTACATGCTAAGTGTGTGAAGTATATCCATAAGATAACCCACTTTGATCTGCAAATGAATACAGTGGATATAATAATTTATAAAGAATGAAAAGATTAATAGGAATTTATTAAAATAATTCAAATTTTATGGAGCATTCATGTTTTACCGAAGTATATGCAATCCACAAGATAACCCATTCTGATCTGCAAATGAATACAGTGGATATATTAATTAATACAGAGTAAAAATATCAATAGAAATTTATTTAAAAAATTCGAATTTTAGTATGATAGTATTAAGTCAATTCCGTTACTTAACTAATGTATCTTTTAAGACATAAAAATTCGGAAATACCGTTAATTGCTGAGATAAATTTATCTTTGGGCAGAAATGCATCATGCATAAATGCATGTATAAAATTAATGTGAAATATACTAAAGCGTGTCTAAGTATTAGGTTACGTGATACTTGCTTTCAATGTTCTTTCCAATACGAAGTAAAACAGCAGTTTTATACTTTCGTTGATATTGAAACCACGAATGCATAACAGGAAACGATCTTATCATATTCAAGTCTTAGTCACACATCTCATTTAATGTCACACAGACTCCATACCTCTCGATATAAAATTAACGAACTACCATAATCGAACTGATCATCGATCGATTATAAAACATGGCGTTCTTGTACCTTCCACGGATTGCATAAAAATTAAAATCTCTTTGCTCCTAAAAAAAAAAACAAAATTTTGTATTAAACAATTTTCATAGTAAAAATTAAAAATTAAAAATCGACTATTTTTTTCGATATTTCTTTTTATATTTTTTTCAATCTAGAAAATAAACGCGTTATTATAACTCATAACCCGATGTTATTCTTTAACATCCGAAGCCATAAGCATCTACGATATTTATATCCGTTATGACGTTCACATTTTCCTTCTTTCTAGCTTTATATAATCTATGCATTTTTATCGTGCCTGCCTCAGACAGTCAACCATAAATAATTTCATCGTTCATCTCCTGTCTCCTATTTTCTTACCTCCTCCTCGACATAAATTGACTCACGACATATTTTCCTCCATTTAGGAAACCTGTTCTTCTCCACGGTGTCCAGGAACGCGAAATAGGATTGTCCATGCCTTCCAACGATCCATTGGATCCAGTCAGATCGATCTTGTCAAAAGAAAAAAAAGAAAAGGATACATCTTATCTGTCGTTTACCGCCCACTGTGAGGTTAGAACCTTCATCCCTCCCCGCTTCACTGACCAACCCCCACCACTCGACGTGCAATGCGTACGAGTGGACGCGCGCTCGCTTATTAGCACCCTGTGCGTGCACGACGTATACACACACACGCGCGCATTCACCGGTGATCACTGGCTCGCAGCAAGTAGATACGAAATAGCAGCCGCAGTCGCGAAGGCTCGCTGCTCACGGTGAGATCGTGGTCTGTCTCGATCGTGAGCAGAGAACGTGTCGTCGATCGTGATCGATCGACCGGTCGTATTCGGCAGAGAACGAGATTCCCACCGTGACGAGAACGGACACGCGTTGTTCGGTTCGAGGCGCGAGAAAGAGACCCGTGATCTCGAAACCTCGTTTCTTATCGATCGATTGTCTCGAAAGATTCGCCTGCGTCGACCGATGAATCTACGACCAGTAGGACGCGTGCGTGATAAAAGACCGCGAAAACTACCGGTACGAGTCTGCGCAGTGACAGCTTACACTGCGAAACTTATAGTCGACGTTTCTGCGGGATTAGACACGTGGTTTGAAAAAAGGTAATAGAAAATTCCTGGCAGTTTGAATAGGATCTAAGTGACGTTCAGTGGACGGGTTAGGATTGTCGGTGCGGTACACGATCACAGAGTGAGGTTATGCGTACGTTTGCTACTTTGTGCGGGAGAGAATAGCGCGAAGTGCTCGATGGACGAGCGTGTGTAGAGAACGACAGTGGTGATTTGGTGAGAAATAACGAAAGAAATGCTTGTACGTTCTGTCGGTGAATCTACGTAGCCTGGAGAATATTGGAAGAGTACCTGGGAATATCGAGAGATGGAGAATCCTTGAGTCGTGCAGGTGAGTCTGCTAATTATTTTTTCAAGTCTATGCAGGTGTCACGATGTTTTATCGTGACGTCGATATTTTGTCAGCGGACGCTCTCGGCGAAACTATCGATATAGGACGATATTGTCGATAGATGTGAAACCTCATTGTCATAATAATTTTCTTAATTCTAACGAATAACAATTTTGAGGTTATTTGTATAAAAATTGTCGTAGAAAAATCGTCGTTTATATCGGAAAGGCAAATTTGATTAAATTTTCTTTCACGATAATATAATTAATTCCTAATTATGTAGTTATCGTTAGTTCGATCACTCGACACCGGTAGAGCCACTATAAATAAAAATTCATGGTTTTCGTGAATCTTTGCTTCCCAACCGTGTCTCTTGTTCTATGGTTCGTGCATTTCGAGATCTATCGACTGCTCCATTACTCGCGTGTACACAAATCTGCTCTTATTGGAGCAGAGAAACGAGAGAGGTCGAAAGAAAAATACCCTCGTATCGAATACGTTTTATTCGTGATAACCGATGACCGAATATGCACGTGTTGCGTATAATGCATGCTTTTGAACGCGCTATTCGCGTATTTTACTCTTGTAGACATTTTGTCACGTGGTTTCGTGGATGCTCGAGATAACGAAAATTTATGACAACGTATTTTCAGGTATCTCGGATAAAAAGAAATATCAATTTTAAATGGTCGAATCACGTTTCGAAGCTTGCTCATGATTTTGTTACAATCTCCGCGTAGATGTATTTTTATTTAACACACGTTTGCATATTTGTTTTAATGATCTTCTTCGAGTTATCGACGTCTTCTGAAAATTCTTATCAATCTGTTTGTCAGTTTTTTAAAACCGCAACGACGTCATTGTATGTAATCTCCCGTCGCTTTTATATGGAACGAGTGTTTTTATTGTAGATTTTTATTGTTATTCATCGTGTCTACAATTTAATATTTTGAGTGTTTTATTCGCGGTAAAAAATTGTTTGGTAAACTAAATATGTAAATGTGTAACTAGACTATTGGTGATATTGAAACAGGTGTCTGAAGTCTTCGAGCTTTCCCCATCTGTTTGAGTTTTTAGCAAAGCAAATGCAACGTTATCGCAGTTCATTGGAACCATGACAACGCGTATTCTTAAAAATTGAAAATTAAAAATTAAGAAAAGAATAAAAATTCGCTTCTGCAAACAGGTGTAACAGGTGTAACAGTAATAGGTCTGTAAATTTTCTTCCGCAATTAATTTAATTTAACTCCGAACATGTATTTCGTAAAAATTAAATAATTTTCCTTCGCATTAATTTAACTTTAATTCCGAATATTTCGTAAAAATTTTCTGGTAATTTATAGTTATTCGAAATTACCAAGTCTTATACCTCATAGACACGCGTTATATAGCAATTACACCTACACTAACTTTTACCCAAGTCGCACTTGATCGTAACGATATCAGAAAGGTACAATCGTTTTCAACGGGTGCCGAATGATTTCTTCATACATTTTGACCTCGTGGAACCGATCTGTCAGCTACTTGGTAAAGTAGGCCTCCATTCAGGAAGTGAACTTACCGTCGAAATCGACGTGCACACGTATACACGAGCTGCACGTGAGTCCACCGTTCGAACATTGCATATCGACTTACCTAACGCGTTATTCAACCTTTCATTGCGTTAAACGCCGGATTACGTTCCGCAGGACCATCGAAATCCTATCCGAACTATTCCAGATAATCGATGCTCGAATAGCAAGCGAATAAGTGCAGAATCGATCGCTGTGCAGAATTCATCTACGTTCATTTTTGAGGAGGCATAGTTGTAATCCGATCTATAAAATCCGACTACTTTGAATTTTTTTCTAGAGAAACCATGATTCATATTGGCATGCAGTTTTCGTATCGAGATTTATTTACACTTGGAGAATATTACCAATTTTTATTTTTAAAGAAATTATTGAAAATTGTGGAAATTATATAGCCTTAGTTAAATCCTGTTTTTAAAAACGAGCTCGAATAGCTGATGCGATTGTAGACCACCTGGTTATCCGAAACGAGAAAACTAAAAAGCATATTAATTAGTACGAACACAGCTATAGCATGAACCATCGAAACAGCGAAATTTTGAAAATTAAAAAAATGGCAGCATTTTGAAGTTCAAATATCGATTTTCCTCGTGATTTTCGTCCTTTGGGTAGCAAACAAAAATAGAAAAAATATCGAATTTTGAAATCCGTTATTCAAAGTATGACATAAATTGTTTTCCAAGAATAAAAAAGAAAAATTTTGAGTTTAATATCACGAAACTACAATTATTCGATGGAACGAGGCACAAAGTATCTAGCAATAATTACTAGGCTGAAGACGACAGAGCCTACTGAAAGTAGGATTGCGGCAACGTAGCCTTGGACTCGTTGTACTTAGGGGACCAACAGGCCGATTCTAGTTAACTGTGTACCTTTCTGCAATTTTAAAACGTCCGATGCTGTGAATTTAACATCTAACCGAGAAGATAAATATTCCACTAACTATAACACAATATACTTTGATGTGTTCTAATTGCATATTTTCAAGTTATTGATATTGCGAATACTATTAAAACGTTATCATTTTACGATGTTAATGTGTCTCACATACAATATCGCGAATTTTGCATGACAATGACTAATTATCGTAGTAATTGCAACTGGAGGGAACACACATACGAAAGTCTAGCGATAAGTGATTAATAATTTCGATTACTGTTGGTGTTCGAATAACAGAGGGATACTTCGGACTATGCATGAACACATATGCTTAACACGTGCGAAAACAAGGATTTTGATTGCTGCTGTAATGTGCAGATGCAGGGATTCACACGAGAGCTGTAAGGTAGATTAATAGCTCGACTGGCTGAGTGAAATAGAACTGGGGAGGACAGGACGGGAATATTTCTTGGACGAAGCTGAGCTTAACTGAAATATAGGGTGGAACGAGCGTAAACATACTTCAACTAAATCTTGCCTTAACTTGTCTGCAAAAAGCAAATTTGGATATCAAAAACTCAAAGCCATTTCGTTCTTCTAGAGAAGCAGGAAATTCTCTGAATTGTCATAATAACTGAACGTAAAATATAGTTTCACTGTTCTATTATACTGTTTAACTATGTAATATATTTTTCATTTACTATACAATTTGCTATACAGTATTGTAGAATGGCGAAAACTGGTTTTGAGGCACCAAAAGCTGACAGAACAACAAGAACAGAATAACACAAACACAAAACTCATGAAACTAATTTTACTTAGGAAAAGAACACCAAGATAACGCAACGAAAAGACACAAAGACGCACTCTAATTTAACTCTCTTTCCAACACCGAGCTACTCACGCTCGTGCCGGTCACAATTAATTTCTAAAGACTCTGTTTTGGTAGTCAAGGACCCTGCTTTTATGCTTTTCTTAACCTACGCTTCACCTCTTCGTAGGGACCACGCAACTTAATTTTGTTACCCAAAATAGCTTTTCCATTTGCTTCTAGAAAATATTGATCGGTTTATAATTTGTTTTTCTTGACAATAGCTGATTCGCGATTTCTTTCCTAAATGGTATCCTACAATATAGACAGAAATCATCATTTTCTAATACTTCGAAAAATTCTATATCACACGTTACCAAGCCTTACAGCTTCTTTTATGATTTCCATTGTCTTTTCATCTACATCGACTTCAGTTTATAATCTTTAACGTGTACTACAAGTAACGTCGCAAGAACTTGATCTTCCACTAACAACTAGTCAATGCCGAAGCAGTAACGAGCTCGAAGCTTAAGTTATACCACGGTCATGTTTCATTATCACTTCAAAGCGTTTTTATTCGTTACTGGATCGTTATTTCAATATCGAGTCGAGTTACCCGTCCTCCAGTGCTATTCACTGTCAATACCGTCGCCTCCAACGCGGAACCAGACCAGCAAAGATCTTCGCGCGTTTGTTCGGAAGAGATTAACGCGATCCAAGTCTTCAAGGTTTCCGAAAAAGTGCAATCAGCACGACGGAAACTTCTCATTGCCCGATTTCACGCAGCTAACACGCGTTGACACGATTTCGCGCGCTGCTGACTCATTGTTCTAGGCTAATTTTCCTTCAATTTGTTACACGCATGCACGTACGCGATATATTACCAATGATAATCGCACGTATGAACAGCAGACACGGTTTTATACGCGAACGAGCACCGTCAACGAAATTGTTGCCTCGCCGTAAACGTATCCTGCCTATTGAGCAACTTAGGGTAATTTCTATTATGACGCGCGTGCCCCTCTAATCGAGCTGAACTGCGACGGAGAAAGTGTAATAAAGGCAACGAAAGTTCATCGTGATAATTGATTACGAAACTACCGGCTGGACATGATTCCAATTTGCGCAATTGTCATCGTTACTATTTACAATTTTGTATTAAAAACCTGTGACTTCTGTCTGTGAATTTTGTGACACCCATTAGAATATTGGCAGATTCTAGCATGTTTGTACTTAACTCTGTTAAATTTCGAGTTGAATCTAGTATTTAGCAGGTGTGATAATGCTTAACACCTCGAAGACCGGAAACCAATATTTGCGTCGTTGCTCAATCAGAAGCAGATGTGAATTTGCGATTTGGCACAGTGTAACGAGAGTGTTTGATTTATCGTCATATTTCGCAGGGAAAATAATTTTCCTACAATTTGTACGTAAATTACAACTTTGCAAACACCTTCGTGTAACGATGGAATATTTATTTCACTCTTAATCGTTTCACCATTTGCCCTAGCCTGTGTACATTATCTCTAAAAACGAGAGCAGAGGTATCCTTGGATGATTTCGAAAATTTCGACCTTTACTTAGCAACTCGTTTGCATATTGAGCAACGTTCGATCAATCGTCATCGCAAAATTTCTCAGAGAAATTTGGTTCGAGCTGCTTTACATTTAAATCGATTTCAAGGATAATATAATATAAAACTGATGTAAAATTCGGATAAAATTAGTCTCTGCTAATAG